CTTCTGGTGCATAAATAAAAATGAAAAGTTCATATCACTTTAGGGAAATTTGGAGAAGAGAGAAGGGGAAAAAAAACATCCACAATCCTACCCACTAAAACCAACCTTTTATATTAGTATAGAAGTTGCTACTAGGATTTTGTGCTTTCCTGCTTTTGCCCTTTCTTGTGTCTTTCTTGCCTGATCCTGGCTGTGTTAACCCAGGTGTGATGGTGAAGGGGCACCAGGGAGCCCCTGAGACTGGCTCTGCCCTCAGGTAACCTTGGACCTGACCCCTTCTGAACCTGTTTCCTTGCTCAACAAAGACGACCATGTGCATGCACCTCACTGCAGAGATAGATAATCAGGTTGAGAGAGCTGCCCCCACTTTTCCCTTCCCTTTCTCCAACTCTCTCTATCCTCTCTGTTTAAATTTTTTTTTAAAGGGCAAAAATAAAAACTTATGTCCCATAAGCTTAGTAACAGTGTTTGTGAAAACTGTTCATTGTATCAAACAAAAGGAAAATCTAATATAAAAAGCATCTCCCCCCACCCCCACCCCCGCTCTCTCCCACCCCGTAGTTATCCAATCCTTCCAGAAAATCCAGAAAACACAGTAAACCATAAACAAGTATAACTCTTTTACTGTTTTGATATTTTTCCTCCTATATGTTTGTTTATGTGGTTGGAATTATTCATTGTACATAATTTTATATTCTGTTTTTTTTCTACTTAACATTAGAATATAAGCATTCCCCCCAAGTTAATAAAAACTTTCTGGCTGCCATTTTTAATGACTGTGTAACAGTCCACTGAGTGGATGGATAATTTCCTTATTGTACATTTAGTTTATGCAAAAATATTCAATATCATAATCCTGGGAAGAGTACTTAGTGCCCAAAACTTTCTCTAAATTTTTTACTGTTTCCTTCCAAATGGGTTGATCAGAGTATATAAACATTTTATTTATTTATTTATTTATTAAAATATTTTATTGGGGAATTGGGGGAGGGGAACAGCTTTGGTATTGGGGAAGGGGAACAGACAAGTTGCTGTCCTTTTTGTTGTTCAGTCTAGTTGTGGAGGACGTCGCTTCACTGGCTTTGCGAGGTGGAATGGAGTAACTCACCAAAGATTCATCCAGCAATATCTTAAAGTGCAAGAGACCACTGTGAGGTGGACCTGTTTGGGAGGGCTTCAGGAGAGGGCTGACACTGGTGTGGGGTTCTGAGTCTGGGGGGAGAAGGGAGAAAGGGCAGGCCAGGTAGAGGCACCGTTGTGAGCGCATGGAGGTGGGGAAAGAGAGTACCTGTTCAGGGAGAGTTAGGGGAGGGCAGTCCCTGGGTTTGAGGCAGAGTGTAGGTGGAGAATTATGTGATGAAGG